TGGGGGGGTGGGGAGCCTTCGCACTGAGATGTCGGGCAGGGCGTGGGGGCATTTGAGACACAGCCAAGCAGAAAACACACGACCTTTAAAGCCATGACAGTCACAGCTTAGACACATTCCTGAAGCCCAAGTTCATGCTGGTGAGCCGGACCCAGGGTCCCCGCTGGAGCCTGGGTCTTCCCGCTTCTCGAATGTGGCTGATGCGGGAGTGGTCGCTGGGGGCGTGGAAGGGGCCAGCTCACCAGGTAACTGGCCAGGCGTTCTCTGTGCCCGGTGCCAGGTCACCGCGGAGGCCTCCGCTCAGCAGGTCTCAGGAGACACAGCGGGACGACCGGGGGTGCGGCTGCCGTTAGAGAAGCTGTCACCACGGGCAGGCAGCATGGAGGTTATAGAGCAACAAGGATGAAAGCGGAAACGGCCCCCTGACTAGGCCTTTGGAGGTGGAAACTTCTCAGAGAAACTTCTAGAACGAGGGCTAGGGGCCAGGGACAGGAAAGGAAAATAGTCATGAGACACCCCGCCCCACACCACCCCCTTACACACCCCTCAACCTTCCAGATTCGCAGGGCAGGGAGGCCATGGCTGGTTCGTCTCAGGTCAGCCAGGCCTGTCACTCAGCAGCCAACCGTCTGTCTGTCTGTCCATCCCAGGCTCCTGCCCTCCAATGCCCTACTCCTCGCAGCCCCCGGCCCCCAGGACGCAGCCCAGTTTGAATGTGTGGTGAGCAATGAGGTGGGAGAGGCCCGCAGGCGGTACCAGGTGACCATCCACGGTGAGTTGGGATGGGGGCACGGGCCACGGGCCACCTCCTCCGGGAGGCCCTCCCTGATCCCACCCTGCCCACACTGATATAACCCCAGCTCCAGCACAGTCCCTGGCACGTGTGAGCTCGCAGGAGACACCTCTTCTGATCCAAAATGTTCTAAACCGAAATCTTACCTTGTCAGCACCTTAGTTAAAATCCCCCCTCCACTGCCCCCTGTCCTCATAGCATGCGAGGTGTCCTACCCTGGCCCCCGAGGCTCACTGACTCCTCCCCAGGTTAAGCTCGCCCCATGGCCTGCCTCATTCTGGGACCCAGTCTGCTGGGTGGCTTTCGGTTCCTCACCCCTGGGCCTTCACACATGCTGTTCCCTCTGCCGTGAGCACTGTTCCCTTCGCCCTTCACCCAGCCGACACCTGCCGCTCCAGGCTCAGGTTAAATGCCACGCCCCCTGCTCTGAGCTGCCACCAGCTCCCGCTCCCCGAGGTGCCTGGCTGGTGTCTCTACAGAAAGCAGTTCATAACCATCCCTGTGCCTGTCGAACCATTGGTCCTGAGCGAGCGCGTGGGACCCCTCTCTGCTGCCCTCCCTCCGTGGCCCTTCGTCACTCATCTCACCATGGGTCCTAGTCTCTGCTCATGGCTTCCCTCCACCTGGCCACGCCGTGTGCTCCCCGGGACTGCGGCCGGCCTCATGCCTGCGCTTGGGTTTCAGTGCCCCCCACCATCGCCGACGACCAGACGGACTTCACTGTGACCCAGATGGCCCCCGTGGTCCTCACGTGCCACAGCTCCGGCGTGCCCGCCCCCACGGTGTCCTGGAGCAAGGCAGGCCTCCCCCTGGGGGCCCGGGGGAGTGGCTATCGTGTTTCGCCTTCGGGTAAGCAAGGGGGACCCCAGGGGAGGTCCTGCTGAGGGGAGGCAGGGGCCTGGGCAGAGAGGGCGATAGCAGCCCCTGGGGCTGTGGGGGGAGCCAGGCTCTGCCATTCCCTTGCTGTGTGACCTGGGAGAAACCCCTGGCCCTCTCTGGGCCTCAGTCTCCCATTCTGCACACGAGGGTGCTGCTGTCCTGCAGTGGCTCTCTGATGACATTGGCAAACGAGTGCTGCTTCATGGCAAAGTGATGTCACCCGTAGCGACGAGCGTTTGCATGCAGCCAGCTTGATCTCCTTAGCGAGCGTGTAAACAAACGAGGCATGCGGCCCACTGGCCACGAGTTTGACATGCTTGCCTTAGAGCGCTGTCCTTTAGGCAGAAATTGTGCTTCTCTTAGCTTTTCTTTCTTCTATGGCAGCGGTTCTCAACCTTCCTAATGCTGCGACCCTTTAATGCAGTTCCTCATGTTGTGTTGACCCCCAACTGTAAAATTATTTTCGTTGCTACTTCATAACTGTAATGTTGCTACTGTTATGAATCGTCATGTAAATATCTGATATGCAGGATGTATTTTCATTGTTACAAATTGAACATAATGAAAGCATAGTGATTAATCACAAAAACAATATGTAATTATATATGTGTTTTCCGATGGTCTTAGGCGACCCCTGTGAAAGGGTCGTTCGACCCCCAAAGGGGTCACGACCCACAGGTTGAGAACTGCTGTTCTATGGAATTAGGGTGATTGCAGGTGGTGACTTATAAAATATCTATTTATCAAAAAAGAAAAGTTGGCAACTTTATGGGGATTGAAGTGAAATGTACTTGCTGGTTAGTTGGTGAAATCCTCAAGTCAGAACCGCTGGCCGGGTCTGTGGCTTTTAAGCTCTCACAGAGCCCCAGAGGCCCCTCAGGCAGCGGTCAGGGGAAGCCGGCCTGTGGGACAGCCCTGGTGCCTGGGGGTGGGGCCGGGGGAGCTGGGTGTCCTCCCCGCCCCCCACCCGCAGGCTCTCATGGCTTGTGGGACACAGTTAGAAACCACTTCACGTAACTGCTCAGGGGCAGCCTGTGGTCTCGAGGTGGGAGGACAGGGGAAGCGGCAATCCAGGGCACTTCCTGGAGGAGGCAAGTGCTAGGGCCTGGGGAGCTGTGGGTGGCCAGGGATTCCAGGCGGGCAGTGGCCGACCCTGGGACATCACAGCCAGAGGGTCTAGAGCACATCCCGATGCCTCATGGCACACGTGGGGAAACTGAGGCCCTGAGAGGGGAAGGGACTTGCCCACAGCTAGGCTTTGGGCAGGAGCAGAGGCAGGCCTGGACCCCGGTGCCCCAGGCTGCTTACCTGTGGGCAGGGAGGCAGGCTGACTGGCCGGGACCAGAGACACCGAGTCGGGGTATGGAGGACGGGCTGCCTCCCTCCCTGAGGACTTGTCTCCAGAACCCTCACCTCTGCGTGCCCCCTTCCACCTCCAGGCGCCCTGGAGATCGGGCAGGCCCTCCCCATCCACGCCGGCCGCTACACCTGCACGGCCCAGAACTCCGCAGGCGTGGCCCGCAAGCACGTGGCCCTGACCGTGCAAGGTAGGGTGCCCGGTCCTTCGGCTCGGACAGCTGTAGCCCTGGGGGCAGGGGAGCAGGTAAAGAGAGAGAAGCAGCTGGGGCTAGGGGCGGGGGTGGGGAGCAGGGGATGAGGACCCAGGTCCGATGCCCATTCCTGCCTGTGTTCTCATTCCTGGTGGGACTCTGGGAGGAAATCAGCCCTCCCATGTCTTCCGTGCCCCAGTTTCCAGAACCTCCCGTCCTTTCTGGAGTCCTCTCTCCCCAGTGCTCAGGGCCCCTGGACGGAGGCCTGGGTGCGAAGGGTTCCCAGCCCTGTTCCCTTTCAGCCTCGCCCGTGGTGAAGCCATTGCCCAGCGCGGTCCGGGCCCTGGTGGAGGAGGAGGTGCTGCTGCCTTGCGCGGTCTGGGGTGTCCCCCGGCCCAGCATCACCTGGCAGAAGGAGGGGCTCAGCATTCCTGAGGGTGAGTCTGCACTGAGCCCAGAGCCTTAGGGAGGAGGGCAGAAGGGGCTGGGGTCCTCCTCCCCCCGGGGGCCTCTGCAGACCTGCCCACCCCCCTTCACCTCCTGCACCCACAGCCCGAGACAGGGCCTGAGCGCTCGGTGGCTGGTCTGGAAGTCAGAGAGGGGACAGCCTGGCTGGGCTGTGGGTCCAGCTTCCACACTCCCTCTGTCACTGCATCACCCGTGACCACGGTGTGTCACCTGCTGCCTGACCTGACGGAACAGCCCAAGCCACCCTCCTGCCCTCCTTAGCGGTCCTTCGGCCCCAGCCCCCAGCCAATTTCTTCCCACCCAATCCAGGAAGGGATACCCAGGTCCTACCCAGTGGACAGCTGCGGATCACCCACGCCCGCCCAGAGGACGCCGGGAACTACTTTTGCATCGCCCAGAACAGCGCGGGCAGTGCCGTGGGCAGAACTCGGCTGGTGGTGCAAGGTGGGCCTGGGGAGTGGCTTCGAGGCTGGCTCTGAGCCCAGGGGGAGGGGGAGAGAGGTTATCCCTGTGTCTTCCCTGGGGGCACCCCAGCACTATCTGTGGGTCTGGAAGGAATTGGGAGAAAATGTTGCGCCCAGGTCTGACTTCAGATGGTAACTCGGTGCCCCTGACTCCCAGCCTCTGGTGGGACACTAACCTCATCAGCCCCCGTTGGTTCCTGTAGCAACAGTCACTTCTGTCCCTTCTCCTGCACCAGCACCGTTACACGTGTGCTCGCCTTAGTCTGATGACCGTGGTCTCCAGAGATAGAGGAGGCATCACTGGCCCCACATCCGCATGGCAGCTGGGAATGTTCGGTGTGGGCCGGGCCTGCTGTAACCCAGGGCCAGCTCGGGGCGGCTTGGGGCTGTCCCTGTGGGCGGCTGTGCACAGCTGGGGTCAGACTTTGGCTGGGAGCCCAGAGGGGCGCCTGGCTCCAGGCCTCCTCCCCAGCCTTCTTGCCCAGTGCGCTCCTCTTCCCTGTGCCTCGGAGCATCACTGCGGTCACCAGAGGGCCAGGCACCACACCTGCCGGGCCAGTGACCTGCCCCCTGCCCCCTGCCCCCGCGTAGCTCCCCAGGGAGGAAGGCGCCCGGCAGAAGGGACCTGTGCCCACATGCAGCCTGGCCATGGAGGCCTCTGTCCGGAAGCTGTAGTCACTGCATGTGTGTGAGTGTGGCATATGCGCACGTGCATGTGTGTGCAAGGAGGCCACTAAGAATTGACTAAAACAGAGAACTGCGTAAGTCCCCAATTGTCCAGACCATGGGCCATGGTCTGTGCCCAGAGAGTTGGTGAAAGCAGCAGATGGGGGTGAAAGAAGGGACTGAGGGGTGTGCCAAGGGCCCGGGGGCAGGAGCAGCCCACCCTCACCCAGCCCAGTCCCCGAGTGGGCCTGCCTGTCCCCACAGTTCCTCCCGTGATCGAGACCGGCCTCCCCGACCTGGCCACCACTGAAGGCTCCCACGCCCTCCTGCCCTGCACCGCCCGGGGCAGCCCTGAGCCAGACATCACCTGGGAAAAGGACGGCCAGCCTGTGTCCGGAGCTGAGGGCAAGTTCAGCATCCAGCCATCCGGGCAGCTGCTGGTGAGGAATTCGGAGGTGAGACTCCGGCCTGGTGCACAGAGGGGAGCCCTGGCAACAAGGGGAGCGGTGAGCATCGGCTGCACCCCCTGCTCGTCATGCTGAACGCTGTGCAGTCTCAGCCCAGGATCCTGGGAAGACAGGTGTCGCCGTCCCCGGGAGCAGATGAAGACACTGAGGCTCTGAGTGTCCCCAGGTCACGCTGTTCCCAAGCAGAACCACGATTTGAACGTGGACCCCCTGACGAGCCCCTGGGGAGGGAGGGAGCCGGCCGGGGGCAGGGGTACGGCCATGGCTCTGCGTCCCGGCCTGTGCCTGCTTGTCCTCAGCCTCGTGTTGATGTTGACCAGAGATGGGGACCCCCCCCCCCATCAGCACTTAGCGGATTCTGTAATTACAAAACGGGCTGCTCTCCAGATGTGCGGCTGCTCAGACACACCTGGGGGCGCTCAGGGCACTGCAGACCCTGCCCCAGAGGAGGCCAGGTGGTGCAGTGGTGAGGCGCCGGCCCAGCTTCCTCTTGGAGAAGTCTCCAAAAGCAGGAGCTTCCCTGGGACCGTGTTAGCGTGGATGCGCTGGTCCAGGGCAGGTTCCGAGCACAGAGCTCGGCCCGCAGTAGGCGCTCGGTGAACGGAGACTGCCGTGATGGCGCGGTCAGGGTTCGGAGGAGGAAGCTGCGGGGCCGCAGGGGTACAGCGAGCCCTGTGCCAGCTGAGGGACTCGGGCAGCTCGCCGCCGCTGGCTGGCTGCCCCATGGGAACCTGCGGGGCCCAGGCTGGGGGCGGAGGCAGTTCTCGCTGATCCCTGCCTTTGCCCACAGAGCCAGGATGCCGGTACCTACACCTGCACAGCCGAGAACACCGTGGGCCGCGCCCGCCGCCGGGTGCACCTCACCATCCTGGCGCTGCCCGTCTTCACCACCCTGCCTGGGGACCGCAGCCTGCGCCCCGGGGACAGGCTGTGGCTTCGCTGTGCGGCCCGGGGCAGCCCTACGCCCCGCATTGGCTGGACCGTCAACGACCGGCCAGTCACAGGTCTGGGCCAGCTGCGGGCTGGTGGACAGCACGGGACCCTGGGAGGCTGCGGAGGGCCAGCAGGGGAGCCCACGCTGGCAGGGAGGTAGAGGGTGTGAGTTGGTGCGGTGGGTCCTGGGTCTCCAGACTTGGCCCTGGGCAGGGCGGTTGGGACAAACCCATGTTTGGCCATAGGTGTCTGTCATGCATCAGACCTGGCAAGAAGCCACCTGCAAAACAGACTCCACCCTGGGGACCTTGGGCCTGGAGTGGGCCCGTGCTCCACCTGGGGCCGCGGCGCCCACTGCGGGCCTACAGCAAACCCCTTTCCTAAGGGCTCTGGCTCCTACGGGGCCCAGGCGATGTTTAGGGGCCTGAAGGCCGCATAGTAGGTGCTCAGTAAATGTCTGCTGCATCGCTGAAATGCAAAAAGTCATTGCAAAATGACATTTCAGGCCCTCCTAAGCCAGGAGACGGCTTTATCCCCCCTCAGACCCCCCACCCCCAGCTTCCTGGGTGGGAGCTGGGGCGAGGGATCCAGCCTCTCTGAGCCCAGCTCCTTCCCGTGAAGCGGAGATAACAGGCGTCTGCGGGCGCCGCCACGTCCATGCAGAGGCCCACGGGAACAGGCACCTGGAGACCTGCCCTGACCACTCACCCAGCTCACAGTGTGGACCTGAAAACGAGAAAGGCGGCGCCTCACCCACATCCTCTGAGGCGGCCTGTGCTTCCCCCTCGCCAGGCGCCCCCAGGGAGAAGGGCCACTGATTTCTGTGTCTTTACTAGGCACCTGCTGCGTGCTCAGGCCGGAGTTCAGGGCACCCTGAGAGGTCTCTTTCTTTGCCACAGAGGGCGTGTCCGAACTGGATGGGGGCAGCACGCTGCAGAGGGTGGCGGTCAGCAGGGAGGACAGCGGGACCTACGTCTGCTGGGCTGAGAACAGAGTGGGCCGCGTGCAGGCTGTCAGCTTCGTCCACGTGAAGGGTGAGGCACGAGCCCTGGGCTTTTCGCTCGAGACCGGCTGGACTCCCTCTGACACTGGCCTCCTGACCTCAGAACTAGCAATCCTCCACCCTGGCTGTACATAGCACCCCTGGGACTTCATAAACTCGGAGGCCGCGGGTCCACCCTGATTCAGTAGCCCTGCCTCCCTGGGGCAGGACCCAGCAGAGGGATTTTTAATCCCCCGGACAGCCTGGCTGCAGGTGGAATGGAGATCTGACCGGTCAGCCGCAGGATCTAACCGAGCAGCTGGACGGGGCCCGTGTGGGAGGCAGGCCCGGGGGCCAGGGCACTCTGGCAGGAAAACGCATGAAGCTTGCCAGCCCGCCCGTGGTCCCCTGTGCAGCCAGCAGCGGCACAGTAACCGGTGCTGACCATGTGTTAATTTGCTCAACTTCAGGATGGGTAGGGTGGGGCTTGATGGAGGGCAATGAGCAGCCCGACACCAGGACACAGCGGCTGCTGTTGGTAGAGTCACCTCAGGAAACCAGGAAGGGGAGGAACCGGTGCAGCCATTCACGAGTGGTTTAAGGTTGGAGTGAGATGGGAATCAGGGACATCTTGGTGTTGCTGTGGACAGCAGAGGTGTCCTCGTGGCCACGTGGTCCTTGTTTTCCAAAGTCCCCAGTAGGCACCCTGCAGCTGGGGTAATTAGTCCATGAGAGCGGCTATATGACACTCGTTGCATTGCCTTCCCTCCTGCACCTGCCCCAGGCATCACTAATCAATCACCACACTGTTCCCACTCGGCTTCAGATCTTTCTCAGCAGCGCTCCTGGCAGCTGCTGCCGGTCTGTTTCACTTGACCCATCACGTGGGAGCTGTTTGCCGTCCCTGATGTGTTGACTGTACTCAGCCCTCCTGGGGTCTGGGGACAAGATTACGGGAAGCTGAGCCTGAAGGGAACTTCCTCCCTGACCCCTTGTCTAATGTCACATTGTGCAGAGGCTCCTGTCCTACAAGGAGAAGCCTTCTCCTACCTGGTGGAACCTGTGGGGGGCAGCCTGCGCCTGGACTGTGTGGTCCACGGAGACCCGGCGCCTGACATCCACTGGATCAAAGACGGCCTTCTGCTGCGGGGCAGCCGACTCCGGCACCAGCTGCAGAACGGCTCGCTGACCATCCGCAGGACGGAGGCAAGGAGGGGCCTGGCGCTCTAGGCGGGGACGTCTGGGGCAGTTCTGGGCCTTTTCTAACTGCTCAGAAGGGTTCTTTAGGTTGGCACCACCCTCTACAGTCTGCAAAGCGCTTTCCTGCCCATTGTCCAGAGATTCCGTCCCCCTCCCCTCACTAGGGTGACCTCCAGCCAGCGATTTCACTTACCCCACCCATTTGATGGGGCTAACGATCATTTCTCCCTCACAGCTTTACAGTCAGAAGTCAGTGCGAGGACCCCTACCAGGCATTTAGGAGTGACTGGCCCCTCAGTGATGACAGTAAAGGTTATTAATGACCACAACCCCATGGGGCAGGGTAGATGGGTAAGAGTGCCCCATTTTACAAGAGGAAGATACTGAGGCTCAGAGAGGCCCACAACCAGGAAGCCCCTGAGGCAGGAGCATACCCAGCTCTCCTGACTCGTACTTCATGCAGTTTCCAAAGCCTGTGCACTGGGCAGACACCTTCCCTTCTGCGTCCCAAGCCCCATGGTCATGCGGAAATCCACCATTCACTCCTGTCAAGCTCATCTTAGGGGTCCTTGATCTTGCCCCTTTGGGAGCCTGTCCCTAGATAGTGATAATCATAGGACTAGTACTGAC